GAGGGGGGAAGGACTACATATTTGTGCAACAGGATTTTCCTTTAACAGCTACAATATAAATGAAACTCCAGGCTAAATGACAGAACAAATGGCTCCTGATAACACCTTTGGTGATGTGCTTTCCCATGTGCTCCAAAAAAAGATCAAGTTCATAAATGCTAAAGCAACAGACTTGACCAGCTTCCTGCATCAATCCTGAAACATGACTGAGGCTACTAAATGCTCAATGCTGAAATAATTACCTCAGTAAATAAATACTTGTTCTTATTTTGTAAGCTCTCAGACAAGAATCAGAAATAAGTTCTAAGGAAGTAAATTTTTAAAGGTATCTTACGTCAGCCACAATAGATTAATTGTTTTAGTCCAGTTTCGCTTTGTACTTCCACTCAAACAAGCTCTGCGAAATGCCTCCCTGGCTAGGAAGACAACTGTTGAATACAGTAGAGTTAGCCTAAAGGGGGTGGGAGGGAGGGAAAGGAGAGAAAATTATTTCTTTACATACTACTTCTAAAATCCTTCATACAGTAGCATCACTGACAGTTTTTACACAGGACTGCCTGACAGACAAGTCTATCAGGTATGCGAAGAAAACATGGTGAAATGAGGTAAATTATCATCACCTCCTAAAAAAGGAGGTAAAGTAATTACATGTGATTATTCAAATGGCAAAAATACTTCAAACACGCTATAAACCAAAAACGCAGTTGCAAAACTTATTGTAAAGCAACAGCATGTAATACACAATTGTGTCCAGCTTGTCCTCAGCAAGCTGATGGATTAACATGAAAATAGGCCAGCAGTACCTCTGCTTCACGCCAAAAAAGAAACTCGGAGACATTCAACGATCAAACACTGTAAAACAGTAGTAAATTAAACAGCGTTTTGCAAAGCGTTATTAGCGACACACCCTACAGTCCATAAACCCCGAGATCCTATACCAAAACCAAACACACTCAAAAAGCCTCATCACGCCGGGGGCCCCGTTCCCAGGGAAGCCTCACGTATGTCAGGCGAACAGCGCGGTCGGGATGCGGGACACGGGCTTCCAGCCCGGGTGCGCTTCAGCCTCCTCCTCACCTCACGTTGACCACGCCGATCAGCTCTCTGGAGAGGTAGCGCAGAGTGAAGGCGTTCAGCCCGAAGGTGACCACCCGGAACAACACCTGTGAAGGAAGCCGCACGGGAAACACCTGCGGGCCGAGTGGGGCTAAGGCGGCTCCCGCCGGGCACCGCGGAGGAGGAGGAGGAGGAGGAGGAGGGAGACGGCCCGGGGCGGCCCCGCACCTGCAGCAAAGCGCTGGAGGAGGCCAGCCGGGTGGTCTGGCTGAGCACGTCCTGCGAGGCCATCACCTCGCCGCCCTGCCCCCCCGGCAGGAAATG